CAAGCCCGCCCCGCCCCGCTCTACGGGGCAAGCCCCACCCGCGCCCCCGTGCCCGGGGGGTGATGGGAAATGTAGGCTGCTCGCAAAGCATGCTGGGTAGAGAGGTGCTGGGGGGGTTAGGAGTCTGGTCAAGCCTAAGGGAGGGGCAGGGGATTGTGGGAAATGGAGTCTGTTTGCAAAGCATGATGGGTGGAGTGGTGCTGGGAGTCTGGTCAAGCCTGAGGGAGGGGCAGGGGATTATGGGAAATGGAGGCTGCTCGCAAAGCATGCTGGGTGGAGGGGGTGCTGGGAGTTTGGTCAAGCCTGAGGGAGGGGCAGGGGATTATGGGAAATGGAGGCTGATCGCAAAGCATGCTGGGTGGAAGGGGTGCTAGGAGTCTGGTCAAGCCTGAGGGAGGGGTGGGGGATGATGGGAAACGGAGCCTGCTCGCAAAGCATGCTGGGTGTTGGGGTGCTGGGAGTTTGGTCAATCCTGAGGGAGGGGTAGGGGATTATGGGAAATGGAGGCTGATCGCAAAGCATGCTGGGTGGAAGGGGTGCTAGGAGTCTGGTCAAGCCTGAGGGAGGGGTGGGGGATGATGGGAAACAGAGGCTGCTCACAAAGCAGGCTGGGTGCCCCTCAGAGCTACCCCTGGGGTCTTGTCAGGACCCTGCTGAGTGCCCCCTCAGACAGGCTCCATGTAGCCAAGCTCCAGCCCAGGCAGCACCAGGGCTGATGACACACAACAACATCACGGTGATGATGGTATAGCTGCATCACTTCACCACAGTGACAAAGCCGGTTTCTCTTCCCTAGTGGAGAGGACGCAATGACTCGTGTTTCTACCTCACAGGGTCACAGTGAAGCGGAGCTGAAAGGGAGCCCCGGGGGGGACAAGGGGCTGGAGGGAGCTCACCCTGACTTGTGTGCACGCCCGTGCGTGTTTGTCATCTTGAGAATGTTCCAGACATACATTTACATATACCTATTTTTTTTACATATACACATATTTTAAGTCTAATCTTTTGGGGCAGGGAAGTGGCTGAAGGGGAGCTGTCAAACCAGACAAGAGAGCAGCCCCTTTGAAGTCGGGTCGCTAGGGCTCACCCCACCCCGTCCGGTTCTTGCTAGGCCGAGACATGGATGGCGTATTGGTATTAAACTAGTGGTAGGAAACCCCAGGCAAGGTCAGGGCCCCTTGCCCTGGGCTCTGGACGTACAGTAGCAGGTTCCAGTTTGAAGAGAGAAGCCAGCCAAAAGGGCGGAGAAACAAAGACCTAGAAAGGAGAAGTGGTTCAGCCAAGCACGTAGGAGGAAAGGGCACCGGACTAGACAAGCTCTCGGGGTTCATGGAGTCCAGGGCCTGCTTTCTTGTGAAATGAGGTCAAAGAGCAAAGCGCTGAAGCAACCCACTGAGCGACACACGAGGAAAAGGAAATCAACCCAAACTGAGAACAAACCAAAGAAAGGGGTTATGAAAAATGACACGCTTGACCTGAAAGGACACTATTTTGGGTCACGCTATTTTCCACTCAAAGCATTTTGAGCAGTCCTCGTCACTGGATTGGTGTGTGACCTGCCCTGGCACCAACCATCACCAGTGTCGTTACACCATCGTTCCCCTGCAGCACAACATCATGACACTGGGTAGCATCTGTCACCAGGGAATTGTTCCTCCAAACTTCATTATCCTGCTGTAAATTATCGCCGCCTCCCTCCCTTGCAGGTGTGAATGAACATATGATCATATTTTAATTGCCAAAGTAATTAAAACAATTTAATAGTTTAATTACCCAAGAACTGCAGCCTGGCCACGTCTTTATTATGCTAGTTGCTGTACACACATATAATAAAAGATAGTCGCTGACTCCACACAACATTTTGTGAACCCCAGAAATTACTCCAGGAGGGTCCAGTGATATCCTGTAGTGATAGACTTGCTACGGTGGATTGAGACGTGAAAGCATGTCCTGATGAGAGCATTTTACCCCAACAGTGTGTGTCATTACTGGGGAACAGGCCGGGGTTCCTGTCGAGATCCATGTGAAAGGCTCAGTCTTAGCCTTAGAAAGTCCTTTACTAGACTTGTGCTCCTTGCTTTCCTGTTACATTTGGCTAATCCAGAGATGTCAAACACGTGGCCCAGGGGACTCCTGGAAGCACTGGGAATTTGTGGAAGTGCTGGGAATTTGGTGGCAGGGTGAGCAGTGTGATGGCGTTCGTCCATCATGACTCCCTGAACTAACACGGCAGCTCAGGCAGCCACGGGGGTTAATGCCACCGCTGCTTGCCCCACTGATGGACGTGGGTCTAGAACTGGTCCATAAGGAGCTCTGTGGTCCATATCTGTCTGGGAGGTGGGGGAAGAGGGTGGGGAGGGAACCAGTTTGACACCCTGGGTTAATCTAAAAGCTTCTGATACTCACCACCTAAATAGAGCTCTTAGGGAGTCTGTGGAAATAATAGAAGAGCTTGTGACAGGAGGTTAGGGACATTTCAGATAGTCTTAGGGGCTTGGGCTGCTGGAAAAGGTGTAGCCTTAGTAGGACCCAGTGGCAGGCAGGTGTCTGGTAAGAGGTCTAATGCTAGAAGGGTATCTTAGAGGAGAGTTTCCAGACCTAGAAACAGTATCTTGACCCATTTGGCTTAGAAGTACGCGTGACCTAACAGATGGGCCCACGCATAACAGACTGGTGACTGAGGACAGAGCCACTGGAAAAGTCCGTAACACCTGCAACCATCACTCATGTAAGCCTGAGGAAGTCAAATGTGTTGGGATCACTCAGGATGCTTCTAATCTTATACCGTGAAATTATTAATGACAATGCTGAGTTATTTGTTGGGTGCTGACAGCCCTGGAGGTTGTAAGGCTTACGCACCACATCCAGGGATTCTCCGTGCATTCCACATAGATCAGATAGAACAAAGAGGAGCAACACACCCTGTCTGAAGAAGCTTACAAGCTACAACAATCAGAAATAATACTGATAAGTCTTTATGCAGACTCACAGACCACTTCGTCTTGAAACACAGCCCTGCATTTTTAAACGATTTGGCTGTCCCCTGCTTCCTATCTATGTTTACTGTGTTCAGAAGCTTTATGGTTTTGCGTTCAAGCTGTGCCGATTGCATTGTTCATAATAATAATGATGCTTTGCACCTATCAAGCAGTTTCTATTCCAGGAGCCCTTGACATTTTACAAGCCTTATCTTTAAACTAACCTTGGGAGGATTATTCCCATTTCACAGGAAGAGAAACTGAACCAA